ATTCTTAGATTCTCTGTATTTACTAAGAATGGAAGAACAACAAAAAACCCTACACTGAACAATATATATGAGAAAAGGTATCAACATATACCTCAGAATTCATACAAACAAACAAAAGCATACGAGAAATAATGTTGAACTATCCAATAAGTCCGTAAAGTTGGCCAGGCACAGTGGCTCACGCCTGTAATGGCACAATTTTGGGAGGCCGAGATGGGTGGATCATGAGGTCAAGAAATCAGGTCCATTCTGGCCAACATGAGGAAACCCCATCTCTACTAAAAATGCAAAAAATTCAATGTCCAACAGCAATTGTTTTAACTATCGCAGTCAATCAAAGGATATCCCCCCTAAACTTACCCAACATCTCTGTGCACTGAGAGCCGAAGTTCCCAAATCTGTCCCAGTTTTCAGATCTGTCTCTGAGTTTCCCCTGCAACCCAGATTCTGTGACAGTTACGTTGGACTCAGGCTCCCACTGACACCGTTGTAGAAGAGACTGAGAGTCTTTCCAACTCTAACCCCAACGTGTCAATGCCGCGTATTCTTTCAGAGAGCAGCAGGAAAGAGCCTGAAGATTCTTGAGCTCCAGGGACATGGCAGAGAGGCTGCACAGAAGGGTTCCCAGGGACAGAAAAGGGGAATCTTAAAAATAAATTTTGGAACCAAGTAACCAATTTTATAGCACATTCTAGTTCTAATGCACATGTTCCTCCACTTGTTACTGAATGCCTGACTTGGTGCCCCCAAAGTGTAAAAAGATGTTGAATGCCTGACTTGTTGCCCCAAAGTGCAATAAGATGTATATATAAGGACTCCACTGTTCAGCAAGTCATTATTTATGCAGATGGTAGTCACTAAATACCTCTTTTTGAAGGTGATTGCCTCTCCCCCAATCCCCTTACGTTGCAGTGTTTTGTTTTAAACAGCTTTCTTGATGAAACCTAATCTTACCACCAGCATTATAGAAATAAGCCAGAGTGGGATAGCTGTACGATGAGGTCTTAAGATTATCCCATAGTCATAATGGTGTTTTAAAATGTTTTTATTTTTTTAATTGGATAAAAGTACATTATTCTAAAGTAATGAATCTTAATGGAACAAACTCTTCATCTAGAAGTGTTTCTTTTTTCCTTAACAAATTGAAAATTGGCGTTTCTAAGAAGGCTAGAATTTATTTGCACTGGCATCTTTTACTATGGTGGGGGATGATCGAATATAACATTTCTAAGTTGCCAGGAGACAGGCAGCCTATCTTATAAATACTGTCATAGAAGACCTCTTAACCTCTTTATTCTTTGGATTTCTATATTTCTTAGAATTGCCATGCTTTTCTGAGACCTAAATTATGCAGAGGTAATGTGATTACCTTGATACAAAGCTCAGGAAATATAAAACGGGTTAGAAATACCAAGCTAGGTTTAAATAAAGGTGTTACAGTATATTAAGGAACATTTTCGAAAGGTCCATATTTGCCTCTCTTCTTGCTGGTAACTCTTCTGCTTCTTTTGGTGACCTTCCCACAGCACAGGAGTGGTTAGGTGTGAGGAGGCTAAGAATACCTTGCCAAGAGCTTCAAATAATGTTAAAACCAGTATTTTAGGTGAACTGTGGTCCCAAGAACTCTCTTTAAATTATTCACCAATTTGGTGTCCCAGGAGCATTTGGCTTTACTGCAGCTATTTTGGCCTCATGTCTTTGTTCTTAGGTTACAATACAGTTATTTTGGGAGTACCTTAAATTTAACATTAGATTACTAGGTTTCAAAAAAATGTACCCAGATGGTAGATGCTGATGAGAATTTGACACAAGAATTCATTTGAAATTGAATGCTTTTGAAGTACTAATAAGAAAAATTTATTGACATCTGGTTTTGAATAGCATAGTGAGTAGAGATTGAGATGATCAGTTAAAATTTAATGAGTTATGGCCGGGTGTGGTGGCTCACGCCTGTAATTCCAGCACTTTGGGAGGCCAAGGCAGGCAGGTCACCTGGGGTTGGGAGTTTGAGCCCAGTCTGGCCAACATCTAATACAAATACAAAAATTAGCCGGATGTGGTGGCACATACTTGTAGTCCCAGCTACTCGGGAGGCTGAGGCAGGAGAATTGCTTGAACCTGGGAAGCAGAGGTTGCAGTGAGCTGAGATTCTGCTTTTGTACTCCAGCCTGGGCAACAAAAGAGAAAATCCATCTAAAAAAAAAAAAGTTAATGGATTATGGAGCTCTACTTCATATTAGTACACCTCAGCCTCTCTGTTTTACTGTCTCAATTCAAGATAGAATTCTAGGCCGGGTGCGGTGGCTCACTCCTGTAATCTCAGCACTTTGGGAGGCCAAGGCAGGTGGATCCTAGGTCAGGAGTTCAAGACCAGCCTGGCCAAGGTGGTGAAACCCCGTCTTTACTAAAAAAAAAAAAAAAACAATTAGCTGGGCACCTGTAGTCCCAACTACTCAGGAGACTGAGGCAGAGAATTCCTTGAACCTGTGAGGCAGAGGTTGTAGTGAGCCGAGATTGCGGCACTACACTCCAGCCTGGGCAACAAAGCGAGACTCCATATCAATAAGAAAGAAAGAGAGAGAGAGAGAGAGAGGAGAAAGGGGAGAGAGAGAGAGAAAGAAAGAAAGAATAAAGAAAGAAAGAAAGAGTTCTTTGTAGCGGTTTGGTTTAGAAGTGGTATGTATTTTACAAGTGTATCAGTTGGCTCTGTATATCCTGATGCTACTCAAGACAGGACCAGACCCCCAAGTCAATATTCTGTTATTACTTTCCAGATTGACTCCAGTCCCAGCCAGCTCATCTTTTAAATTAATATAGTTCATTGTCACACTGGACTGGACAAATCAAATGGAATGTCTTTATTTTATGAAGATGACTTGTGTAGACCATACAGATTAGCAACAGCAAACACTTTCAGTGCGAGTTATTTAAAGTAATTGAAGATTTGGCTGGCAGGAAAATTGCTAGATAGGGAAAAGGGATATCTATTGACGGATATATATAGAATTAGGAAGAATTTATGTTTTCATAAATGTCTCAAGCAAGATTTAATTTGGTGTGCATGCTGAATATAATGGTAACATGGTTTGCCTGTGATTTGTCTTTGTCTTAACAGATTATTTTTCTAACTTTAAAAAAGTGTCAGAAATGACAGATACAGGTGAAGGGAAGGAAGGCAGCAAACCACACTGCCATGAGTGTACCTATGCAACAATCTTGCATGTTCTTCACATGTACCCCAAAACCTAAAATGCCAAAAAAAAAAAAAAGTGTCATCACTTGAGGTCAGGAGTTCGAGACCAGCCTGGGCAATACAGGGAGATCCCATTTCTACAAAAAACAAAAGGCTAATTAAAAAAAAGTTAGGGTCGCAGTGTTCCATGATTGTGCCACTGCACTCCTGCTGAGCAACAAGAGTGAGATACTATCTCCAAAAAAAAAAAGTCTACAAGTGATAAATGTTTGCTACAAAAAATTTGAACATAGAGATGTACAACAATAAGGAAAAATTTCCCTTTACTCCTATTACCTAGAAATAACAGTGTTGAACTGTAAATGTCTGTCATTCTAGACCTCCTTTCCATTATATGCCTGTATTTTTAAAAAGGATTATATGAGGCCAGGCACAGTGGCTCAGCCCCGTAATCCCAGCATTTTGGGAGGCTGAGGTGGGCGGATCACAAGGTCAAGAGATTGAGACCATCCTGGCCAACATGGTGAAACCCCATCTCTACCAAAAATACAAAAATTAGCTGGGTGTGGTGGCACATGCCTGTAATCTCAGCTACTCGGGAGGCTGAGCCAGGAGAATCACTTGAATCCGGGAGGCGGAGGTTGCAGTGAGCTGAGATTACACCTCTGAACTCCAGCCTGGCGACAGAGTGAGACTCTGTCTCAAAAAAATGATTATATGATACATGTTGTTTGGCAAATTTAGCTTTTTTCATGTAATAATACTACACCATAAATATCTATTTCAGTAATGAAATTTAATTTATTATTAAATTTTTAAAGATAGGGTCTTGCTCTCTGTCACCCAGGCTGGAGGGCAGTGGCACTGTCTCAGCTTACTGCAGCCTCAACCTTCTGGGCTCAAGCCATCCTGCTGTCTCAGCCTCCTAAGTAGCTAGGATTACAGGTCCATGCCACTACGCCAGGCTAATTTTTGTATTTTTTGTAGAAACAGGGTTTTGCTGTGTTGCCCAGGTTAGTCTTGAACTCCTGGGCTCTCCTAAGCTCAAGCGATCCACCCACCTCGGCCTCCCAGAGTGCCAGGATTACAGGTGTGAGCCACCATACCCAGCTGAAATTTAATATATGTATTTTGTGACACAGAGTTTCACTCTGTCACCTAGGCTGGAGTGCAGTGGCACAATCTCAGCTCACTGTAACTTCTGCCTCTCAGTTTAAAACAATTCTTGGGCCTCAGCCTCCTGAGTAGCTGGGACTACAGGAGTGTGCCACCATGCCTGGCTAACATTTTTATTTTTAGTAGAGATGAAGTTTTGTCATGTTGGCCAGGAAGGCGAAATTTAATTTCTAATGGCCACTTATTAGTCCTTCATGAGGTGTACTATAATTTACTTGTCTCCTATGATTGGAATTTAGGTTGTTTCTAATTTTTGCTGACACAACATTTGTATGTACCCTTTTTGCCTCTTTGAATATTTCCATAGAATAACTTCCTGGAAGTAGAATACTTTTCTTGAAAGAGTTGTGCATTTCAAGGCTTTGATTTGAAATATGTTGCCAAATTGCTTTCTTTTTTTTGTATTTTTTTTTAGTAGAGACAGGGTTTCACCATGTTGACCAGGATGGTCTCGATCTCCTGACCTCGTGATCCACCCGCCTCGGCCTCCCAAAGTGCTGGGATTACAGGCGTGAGCCACTGCGCCCGGCCCGCCAAATTGCTTTCTAGAAACGCTATTTATTTCAGTTTTTGGGTTCTTAGTTTTCTAATTGGCTTTATGCTTGCTTTAAAATACGAAATTTTTATTTAGTTGCAGAATGAAGAAGAGTCTGGAGAACCTGAACAGGCTGCAGGTGATGCTCCACCACCTTACAGCAGCATTTCTGCAGAAAGCGCAGGTAGGTAACAAGGCCAGGTGATTATGGAATCCTTAAAAACACTCGGTGCTTTGACATTACAGTAAAGAAAAAAAAAAGTGTTTCAGAAGCAGTTGGAAGAAAGATTATAAAGCGAGTCTGGATTTTAAATAATTGAGAAGTGGATACATTTAAAATTTAACATCAGTCTCTTAACAATTCATCTATAAATGTCTTTTGGTTCAATTGTTATATATGTACTCTTAGGGGAATGACTCGATTTTGTCTGCTAGAGTTAATGGAAATCCTTTTATTTCAATTCAGCTAATCATCAATAAATTGTACTTAAAATTCTGCAGCATATTTTGACTACAAGGATGAGTCTGGGTTTCCAAAGCCCCCATCTTACAATGTGGCTACAACACTGCCCAGTTACGATGAAGCGGAGAGGACCAAGGCTGAAGCTACTATCCCTTTGGTTCCTGGAAGAGTGAGTATAATTTGCAACGTTACTTGATGGCTGCTCTATGGGAATTAAGTTATTTTCATTATCCAATTTTTATTCATTACTTACGATTGTATTGATTAGTGAAAGTTCAGCTAATTTAAAAAATCAGGTACATTTGCTTTGGGGATAATAAACTCATCTCTTCCTAAAAATGAGGAGTTAAAGAGATATAAATAAGCAAAAAAATACTGGTCAAACCTGCTCATTTTTCCTATATCTCTCCTACTACCACCGCTTTTTCAAGTTTCCTGGGATGGCTGAAGTATCTTGAAGCAAGAGCACACTGACATTTTCTTGATTCTGCATGCTTAATATTTTGCTATTGAGTAGACAGTTGCTAGGGAGATCTAGGAAGAGAATAAATATGTGCAAATTTATACAATTAAACTCATAAAAGGGATCTTCACATTGACTTAGATGAACTCTGTTCCTCTAGCAGTCCAGATCATATCATTTGTGGGGACATAGTGAGTACAGATTCCATCTGGCCTGATGCTGATTCATGGAGGTGGAGATCGGGATGGCGTTTAAACCAGTGGAGATTATTGGGCACTCTTGGTTCTTGATGTCAGATATATAAGTGCTATATTTGTAGTTTTGTAAATATTTATACAGATTGAAGTTGATGCAGGTAGGGCACTGGACCAGGTGTTGGGAGAATGGAAGCAGGGTAAGTCCCTAGAAATGTGCGGACTGTAAGGCCTGTAGGTTCTAGTCTGGCAAGAAACGAGTGAGTGATGAGCAAGAACAGAAGCCTAATCTGGGCAGTATGATGGAATAGGCCCAAAGGTTCCCCTCTTGGCTTTAAGATAGTAGACTGTTTACAGACCACACCTACTGTGAGGAGCAGAGCTCCTAAAATCATTGGTTGGCAGAAGTAGTTTATGAGCCCAATCTAGGATGATCCTAAATGGCAGTAATATGCATTCAATTCTTATTGGTGACAGAGAGAAACTAAGAACCCTAGTGTCTAAGGGCAAGACAGTCATAATGTAGCTGCCATGTATTGGAAGCAAACAACATGCTTGGTACTGTGCTTGATGCTTTTATATATTTTGTATGTTGTTTCCAATCTTCATAGTAACCTTGAAAGATCCATTGTACAGATGTGATAATTTAGATCCAAAGAAATAAAGTAATTTTTCTAAAGTCATATGATTCATGTAGAAGTGAGAGTCAAACCCAGATATTTCTAGAATCCAAAGTTCTTGTTTATTTCACTGTACTCTGCAGACCTGTTGCAATATGTGGTAAATGGATCAATATGGAAATTAGCTCTGATTAATCACAGAACTCTTCAGCCTACTTTCATTTGATACAGGTACATATTTAGGAACTTCTTAAAGGGCTTTAATATTTAGCAGACATGTATAAAGCACTTTTTAAATAAAAGATGCAGCATATTTTGCAGTGGATAGGTAAAAAGCTTTGTATAAGGCAGTGTTCTTATTGTTATTCGAAAGCCTAAAATCCAACTAGGGTTAAGGGCCCAGAAATACTGATAGCTAAGACACATAAGAGCAGTGGGCATCAAAACTGAAACTTTTTACTGGATGATCATAACGGAAGATGAGATTTGATGTGGGCCCAGAGTTTTGATAGATAAGAACATTTCAGAGAGAGAAAGCCCAGGAAGCAGGTGTGAATTCAGCCAGGTGCAGGGCAGTTCTGTGGATGTAGTAATTGGCTTTGTATGAGCAAAGAGTTTTGTGAAGGGAGGTAGAATGTTGTAACCAGAACTGTTGTTTATAGAATCCCTGGAATAGACTGGGGTACTTAAATTTCCTATGTAGCTCTTAGAGAATCCTTCAGAGTTTTTGAGCAGGGGTATGAGAGGACTTGTGTGGTGTTTTGGAAACATTAACTTGGCAACAACTTCTAGGAGGAATCATGGTAGAAGAGATACCAAGAAGACAGGAAGAACAGTTAGAAGGCATTTGTAATTTTATTAGATGTTACTTCCATGGATTTTTTTGGACTATATCTTTGAGTAGTTATGCAAAAAAAACTAGAATTAGCTTTTAATTTTGGCAAAACCTTATTCTGCTAATGTGAAGTAAGAATACCAGATATTGGCCGGGCGCGGTGGCTCAAGCCTGTAATCCCAGCACTTTGGGAGGCCGAGGCGGGTGGATCACGAGGTCAAGAGATCGAGACCATCCTGGTCAACATAGTGAAACCCCGTCTCTACTAAAAATACAAAAAATTAGCTGGGCATGGTGGCACGTGCCTGTAATCCCAGCTACTCAGGAGGCTGAGGCAGGAGAATTGCCTGAACCCAGGTTGCGGAGGTTGCGGTGAGCTGAGATCGCGCCATTGCACTCCAACCTGGGTAACAGGAGCGAAACTCCGTCTCAAAAAAAAAAAAAAAAAAAAAAAAAAGAATACCAGATATTTAATGCTTTAAAAAATTATAAAACAATGCATTTTTATAGAAATTTCAAATAGTAGAGGAAGTATATTAAGTTAGAAAAGGAAGCTGCCATTGCCACTGACTTCCCTTTCTCTAGTTTCCACTCCCTGGGGAACCACTGTTAACAGTTTGGATGTTGCAGACCCTTTTCTGTGTACAGCAAGTTTCGATATTTCCTAAAATATTTTTCATTTGAGGAACCCTCATTGAACTGTGTACAGATGTATCACATTTAAGTATATATTCAATTATTTAAAAATATCTCAACACATACCTTACATCAGTTAAAAAGATAGACCACGTGTTGGTATTGTTCAGGATCATGTTCTTTTTTCTTTTTCTTTTTTTTTTTTTTTTTGAGATACAATCTCATTCTGTTGCCCAGGCTGGAGTACAATGACATGATCTTGGCTCGCTGCAACCTCCTCCCAGGTTCAAGCAATTCTCCTATCTCAACCTTCCAAGTAGCTGGGATTACAGGCGTGTGCTGCCACACCGGCTAATTTTTTGTATTTTAGTAGAGATGAAGTTTTACCGTGTTGCCCAGGCTGGTCTCAAACTCCTGAGCCCAGGCAATCCACCTGCCTGGGCCTCCTCCCAAAGTGCTCGGAGTACAGGCGTGAGCCATGGCACCCAGTCCAACGGATCATGTTATTTCTAGATCTGCAATATTATGTTATCAAGTTAGGGTGAAGGAGTTCCTATCTGCTGATGAGAGTAGAGGTGAGATTGTTTTAGATCTGTACACCAGTACAAATACATGCTTATGGAGTTGAGCAGCAGGCAGTTCTGTAGACTATTCATGTATGATCATGCTATTCTTTTTTCCCCCGTATATGCCTCAAAAAGTACTTGAGCTGGTTGTTTTATCTCTATTAGACCCTGGATTACTAATATTTTAGGCCCTAAACAGGTCCTGGATTACTGATAATTTTAGAATTTAAACCAAATGTGTTAGTAAATTTTGTCTTTTTTCTTGAGGTATATATATATATATATATATATATTTGTTGTTGATGTTTTGTTGTTGTTTTTGTTGCTGTTAGACTGAGTCTCACTTTTGTTGCCCAGGCTGGAGTGCGGTGGTGCAATCTTGGCTCACTGCAAGTTCTGCCTCCTGGATTTGGATTCAAGTGATTCTCCTGCCTCAACTTCCTGAGTAGCTGGAATTACAGGCATGTGCCACCATGCCTGGCTAATTTTTGTATTTTTATCAGAGTCAATGTTTTGCCATGTTGGTCAGGCTGATCTCAAACTCCTGACCTCGTGATCCGCCCGCCTCAGCCTTCCAAAGTGCTGGGATTACAGGCATGAGCCACCACGCCTGGCCCTCTTGAAATATATATATATAGAGAGAGAAATATATATATATATATATATATATATAGAGAGAGAGAGAGAGAGAGAGAGAGGTGTATATATATATATTTTTTTTGAGAGGGGTAAGAATATATATTTTATGTATTTTTATATATTTTTATATTATATTTAAAATATGTATATATATATATATATATATATCCACCTGAGGTATATAGTTTTTTAAGTTCTTTGTGAACTTTTACATTTTTGAAGTGTATTGTTAAAGAACTTGGGTTATAAGATGAAAATTTCATTTAGAACACTATGGGAATAGAAGAAAGATTTGTTTCTTTTCTAATTATATACTAATAATGCAAAATGGAATTTTAAACATACACTGAGCCTTTAATGTCATAATTTTAAACTGAGTCAAAACAATAACTTTTTTCATTGCTACTCACATTTGTCCCTTTATGTTTTCTTTATATCTTCCTTTTGCCTAAACATAATTCTTTTTCTTTTCATTTAGGATGAGGATTTTGTGGGTCGGGATGATTTTGATGATGCTGATCAGCTGAGGATAGGAAACGATGGGATTTTCATGTTAACTTTTTTCAGTAAGTATATATGCATAGCAGAACTGACCCCCACAAACCAGAGTGCTTTGGATTATGGGCAAATCTGACAGAATTAAAATAACTAATTGAGCTAATATATTAATACATTACATTTATTTGATGTCTTTTACTGGAATGTATATTAATATGCCTTTGTTTTAACATACTTTCTCTTTGCCTTCTATTTTCATAAATATCTATAGAAGATATAGTTAAAGCAGTTATGAGGATGCTGCATTTTTACATGAGCTAAGCCCTGTCTTTCAGGTCTATGGGGTCCTTGTGCATTGCTTCTACTCATACTTAAGTCTGTAGAATAGGAATTAAATGCCTTTGTGTGATGAATTTTGCTCTGAAAGCTTCTTTTTTTTTTTTTTTTCCGACAGATGAAAGTCAACCTGACTTTCTTCCTTGAGATTATTTTGCATTTATCTTTTCATGTGCCTCACATAGAAGTGAGCAACTATTTCCTTTATTTGTTGTATTAGAAAGATAAGAAAATGCAGTGCTTTTAGAGGTGATTATGTAAGTTGTCAAAATTCAGAGAACAGGAGGATGAGTGACTTGAACCAGATTATTTGGGGGCACTTAATGTTGAAGGCATTTATTTTGTTTGCTGGAATATATAAGCAGAGGTCAAAGGCTGGGCACAGTGGCTCACGGCTATAATCCCAACACTTTGGGAGGCCTCGGTGGGCGGATCACCTGAGGTCAGGCGTTCAAGACCAGCCTGGCCAACATGGCAGACGCCATCTACTAAAAACACAAAATTAGCTAGGCATGGTGGCACACATCTGTAGTCCCAGCCTCTCAGGAGGCTGAGGCAGGAGAATCACTTGAATCTGGGAGGCAGAGGCTACAGTGAGTTAAGATTGTGCCACTGCACTCCAGCCTGAGTGGCAGAGCAAGACTCCGTCCACAAAAAAAAAAAGCAGAGGTCCTAAGTGTACAGTTTGTTGAGTGTTAAGGTTTGCTTTTAGTTCGTTTTTGTTTGTTTTTTCCTTTTGAGACAAGGTTTTGCTCTGTCACCCAGGCTGGATTTGGAATTCAGTGGTGTGATGACTCTTGACACTGTACTCTTGACCTCTTGGGCTCAAGTGATCCCCCCATCTCAGCCTCCCAAGTAGCTGGGACTGCAGGTGTGCACCACTGTGCCTGGCTAATTTTTTTTTTTTTTAAGTTTTTGTAGAGATGAGTCTCACTGTGTTGCTCAGGGTGGTCTCAAACTCCTGGGCTCAGGGGATCCTCCCACGTTGGCTTCCTAAAGTGCTAGGATTACAGGTGTGAGCTACTGGCTACTGTGCTCAGCCTGTTAAGGCATTTTTGAAAGTGACATAATTGTGTAAAACTGTAGACATAGTTGTGTAAAATCTGATAGGGAAGATTTTTTTCTTGTTTGCTTTTTGGGGAAAGACAGAAGAATGGATGTATGGTGAGGGTTGTGGAGGACAGGCTTTTATCCTTAGGAAAGTCATTTAAGCAGAGGCAGGTGTAAGGCACTCTTGTTCTTGGGTAACAGGACATGTCTAACATCTTTCCCCTCCTCTGCTTTTGCAGTGGCATTCCTCTTTAACTGGATTGGGTTTTTCCTGTCTTTTTGCCTGACTACTTCAGCTGCAGGAAGGTATGGGGCCATTTCAGGATTTGGTCTCTCTCTAATTAAATGGATCCTGATTGTCAGGGTAAGTTGTGTAACAGAAAAGGTAGACTCTACAGAGAGATAATAATTAGAATATTTTTGAATATTTGATTTTTCATTTGCTTTTTTAAAAGTTATTTCAACGTGTTAAATGATTTTTGGTTTGTCTTTGGTTTCATGATGAAGCTGAACCAAAATCAATTGCAAATGATTCATGCACACAAGTTTTGTTGTCAAATCTATTGAATACTAGTCTATCATCAGTATTGTTCACCAGCTGCTTTCTTTGTTTTTAATGTTTATAATGTGATAATGTATGTGTTCTGAAATTAGTTGTTTTAGTGATAAAAGGAAGGTTATTACCTCTTTGATATCTCATCAAAAGCAGCCATTCCTCTCATTAATTCTGTTACAGTTTTAGTCTAGCTCTCAGCTTCCTTCTTGTCTTTTCTCCTTCTCTTTCTGTCTCCCTTCCAGGACTGGTTATGCCAAAATGTTTGGGGAGCCAAAACTGTTTAACAAGCACTGCTCCATTAGGAGCCTGTTTCTGAAGTAAATTAAAGAGACGTATATCTTTAGTGACTTAAGAGTTACCAGTTAGTTAAATTTGCATGAAGTAATTTAAAGTTGTAAAAGATTAGGCAATTAAGCTTTTAAAGTATCCTGTGATTTCAGATAAATATATTGCTATTGTCAACTTTATAGACCAAACCAGTTTATCTATCATCAATTGACATACTTAACTAACTGATGGATATTGCTTGACCACAAATGCTTTATAACAAATAAGGTAGTTTTTCAAAGTAGTGCTACCTTATTTGTTATAAAGCATTTGTTAACATTTTTAGGGTTACAGAATCCTTTGAGAATCTGATGAAAGTTGTAAGCTTTTCCCCAACATACCTAATATGTACTCATCTAAAATAATGGACTTTAGGTTAAGAGCTGGAGCCCTAAAGAGGTTTTCTTTCCTTCCCTAAATCTTAAGTGTTACTTTATTAACAAATAAAATACTATATTTTAATTTTCAAACTATATTAAACTCTTGGACACCAAAGCCTGCAAGGAAAACGGAAATAAAATTAATTCCAGTGTTGTTTGTTTTTCCCCAAACTAAATTTTCAACTGTATTTAAAAAGTAAATCAAATGAATTAACTTATATGAGGTGGGATGCTTTTGACTGTAACAAAAAACTAGCTCAGAATGGTTTAGAAAAAAATTTTTAATTTTTTTTTTTAATGGGGAAAGTTCATTTCCCCTGAAAACAAGTCCCTGACAAGGAGATTAGTTAAATCAGTGATTCATTGACATCATCAAGGACAGCTGACATATCAGCATATTAGCATAGTTCCCTGCCCCACCACCTCTGGGTTAAAAGATGGCAGTTTCACGTATTAGTATCACACCGAAACACAACGGTGCTCAAGGGAAGAAAAAGAACTATTAAAAAAATTTTTTTTCTACCACCTTTAGAGAGAACTATTTTTTCTCTTCCTTTTTTCTCAAAGAGCAAGGAATCCTTCTCAGAAGCCCTCAATTTCCATTGGTCAGAATGATATCCTGTGCTCATTCCTAAACCAGTTGCCAGCAAGGGAAGGGGATTACCCTGGTATACATGATAAAGCTTCCAAAGTCAAGACAAGGCTAGGGGAGTTGGAACAAAGTCAGTCCTCATTAGAAAGAAGGCAATGATATCAGCTTGTAGTCCCATCTACTCAGGAGGCTGAGGTGGGAGGATTGCTTGATTGAGCCCAGGAGTTCAGTAAAGCCTGGGCAACATAGTGAGATTCTCTCTCTTAATAATAATAGCAATTGCTTTTGGCACTGAATAAACAAAGTAAAACAATCATTATTGAAACATGCTTCTAGAAGGGTAAATATTATGTGGACAAAAAAATGTTTTCTAAAAAACAAATTTTTGTATACTTTCAAAATAAGGAGTTTATAAAGCTAAAAGCTATCATATTTATTGATTGCTTTTCCATGAAAGGAAATAGATTTGCATTTACTATAGCCATTTCAAGTCAGTAATATATAAAATACTTTCACTTATATTTTAAAATTATTGGAAAGGCTAAGTAGTGGCATTGGTAGAGCAAAGAAGTCTTGCATTTTGCATATCCTTAAGTTAAAATGAGAAATTGTGTCTGTTAAGCTGCTATAAAGTATTTTGCCTTATTTTTCAGTTTTCCACCTATTTCCCTGGATATTTTGATGGTCAGTACTGGCTCTGGTGGGTGTTCCTGGTTTTAGGTAAGTGTTTTTAGTGTAAGAAAAGGTGAGAAAACATTACATTAAGTTTTACAAGTAAAATTACTTTTAGTAAACACTCATCTTGATCACTGTAGAGTAATATATTAACCAGCTGTAGTAAAGATTTTTAAAATGTTGCTTTCTTGAAGAATAGACTTTCATTAACATCAGAGTAACATCCACGTTAATGAAAAGTTTCTTTGTGGTTGTAGGTTTTTCCTAACCTGTAAATATATTCATCTCCCCCATATGATCAATGGAGTATACTGATAACTCTGTAGTCTGTCAGCATTTTTCACCTTGTAAGTTATTACCACACAGCATTCGCAAACTCAAACCCAAATTGCTTATAGGCATACTGCAGCCAGTTGAACTAACTCATAAATGCACGTGGCCTATCTTTGTTAGGTCTGTCAGTAGAAAATAGAAAATATATAACCTCACTAGATAGAACTTCTGAAAGAACTACTATTGGGTTTCCAGAATTCTTTAGTTTACCACTGGTGAGAATAAGAATTGTTTCACAATAGGCAAGAGAACCTTTTTCTTTCTTTTTTCTTTTTTTTTTGGACAGAGTCTCATTCTGTCGCCCAGGCTGGAGAGTAATAGCGCGATCTTGGCTCACTGCAACCTCTGCCTCCTGGGCTCAAGCAATTCTTCTGTCTCAGCCTCCCAAGTGCCCACCACCATGCCCAGCTAATTTTTTGTGTTTTTAGTAGAGACAGGATTTCACCATGTTGGCCAGGCTGGTCTCAAACTCCTGACCTCAGGTGATCCACCTGACTGGGCCTTCCAAAAGTACTGGGATTATAGCCGTGAGCCACCATGCCCAGCCAGACTTTTTTTTTTTTTTTTTTTTTAATATATATACCAGGTATTTCAGGTTTTTGGTCTTCGGATTCTATTTTTTACTCTAAATGTTTATTTTAAAATCTTTTTTTCCTAGACATTAAAACAAAGAGATGAAGTTTGGGGTAAATTATTTCAATGTTGGTGTCTTCATTATTTGTAAAGAAAATATATATGATACAGTAAGAGAGACCACCATCACTTCTGTCATTTCTATAAAATAATAACAAGGCCATCTTGTTGCTTGTAAAGATGATGTGATTGCCTCACTGTGCTTCCATGACATCAGTTTCTCCTGTCTCCTATTTTGCTTCTTGTTGCCTCCTTAAGATTCTTGGTGGTACTGCTGCTAATGGGTCTGGCTGGCACATCCTGGCACCCATGCCCAATAGGTGCTTAATAAATTCAGGACCTGGACCAGTTGTGGTGGCTGACGCCTGCAATCCCAGCACTTTGGGAGACTGAGGCAGGAGGATTTCACCTTGAGGCCAGGATTTCAAGACCAGCTTGGGCGACATAGTGAGACCTTGTCTCTGTGAAAAATTTTTAAAAATTAACAAAATGGTGATTTGTGCCTATGGTCCTAGCTAGTTGGGAGACTGAGGCAGGAAGACCCCTTGAGCACAGGAGTTGGAGGCTGCAATGAGTTGTGATGGCACCACTGCAAGACACTGTCTCTAAAAACAAAACAAAACAAAGTAATTCAGGACCTGCTTTGCCAAGACTGACATTGCTGACCCTATGCTTTACTTAGAAAATATAAGTCATTCATTGCACCATCTACCACCTCCCCACAGCATCATCTACTCTATGACTGGTCATTAGAATTCTAAGGAAAGAGAAATAGTCATTTTCTTTCCTCTCTTTATTGTTGAGAACTTTAATAATAAAAATGACCAACGGAGAATAATTTAGAAGAAATAGTTCCTTGGCTTGCTTATTTTCTAAACTGTACCTTTAAGAGAAAAGCTGACCACCCTTCTTTTCCCAAGTCAAATCCTGAATGAACCAAAGAGAGCCCTTCAGCATGTGTTCAGATTGATTGTTTATGGCATAAATAAAGAAATTTAATGGATTGATTTCCTTTCTATATTAAAGTTTCATGGAAGATGAATTTGTAATACTTTATAATTGATCCTTCTTGCTTTGTACCATTTGCTTGTAAGCAAAAAATAAGCGTTTGGATACACTTACGAACAATTGATACTCAATGGTCGGGTCATTTTGGAAACTTTTTTTTTTTTTTAAAAGAACCAGTTTTGGCCGGGAGCGGTGGCTCACGCCTGTAATCCCAGCACTTTGGGAGGCCGAGGCGGGTGGATCACGAGGTCAAGAGATCGAGACCATCCTGGTCAACATGGTTAAACCCCACCTCTACTAAAAATACAAAAAATTAGCTGGGCATGGTGGCGCGTGCCTGTAATCCCAGCTCCTCAGGAGGCTGAGGCAGGAGAATTGCCTGAACCCAGGAGGCGGAGGTTGCAGTGAGCCGAGATTGCGCCATTGCACTCCAGCCTGGGTAATGAGAGCAAAACTCCGTCTCAAAAAAAAAAAATTAAAAAAAAAAAAAAAAAAAAAAAGAGAGAGAACCAGTTTTGTGGCATTTCTCTTGCAGAGCTCCCAAGCTGGCCACTCTTCAGCTACAGTTAACCTATAGTTTATTTGTTTCACAGTTATTGTTAGTTTCTTTTTTTAAAATTAGTTACCAACATGTTAAAAATCAAAATTATTTCACATAAAACATCTGAATATTTTTATTTTTCTTAAAAGTTGGAATATCAAGCAAAGCTAGCCTGCATTCCACGTGGCATCCTTTGGCTGGAGCCGAGTTGTAGCTATCTCCTCCATACAGGTCGTGTGCCTTCCAGTTCAGGAAGATCCCACCACCGTTCCCCAATTTAGCATTTGAAAGGGTGACCCCTGCTGTATAGTCACATGTTGCTTTGAGTACCAAACAGAATGATGTTCCCCAAGCTCAGAGCCAACAGCTCTTGGTTACTGCCAAAAATCAGTTCAACTGTCCATGTACAGTTTTCTACCACTGAGCATCCCAGTAAAAGTGTTTTTTTAAAAATGTGCTAAAGGCTCAGAGACCATCTCTGAAAGAGGAAGGCCAGGAGGAGTATCTGAGTTCCCAATGAGGAGCATATCACCTCTTTGCTGACAGTTTTGAGAGGTACAAACTTTCATGAATGTATAGATTATGGTGTAGTCACACAAAAGGAGTCTTATATAAATAGAGAAATAGGCTGGGTACAGTGGTTCACACCTATAATTCCAACTCTTTGGGAGGGTGAGACAGGAGAATCACTTGAGCCTAGGATTTCAGGGCCAGCCTGGGCAACATAGTGAGACCCCCATCTCTACAGAAAATTTAAAAACAGGCCGGGTGTGGTGGCTCAAGCCTGTAATCCCAGCACTTTGGGAGGCCGAGGCGGGTGGATCACGAGGTCATGAGATCGAGACCATCCTGGTCAACAGGATGAAACCCCGTCTCTACTAAAAATACAAAAAATTAGCTGGGCATGGTGGCACATGCCTGTAATCCCAGCTACTTAGGAGGCTGAGGCAGGAGAATTGCCTGAACCCAGGAGGCGGAGGTTGCGGTGAGCCGAGATCGCGCCATTGCACTCCAGCCTGGGTAACGAGCGAAACTCTGTCTCAAAAAAAAAAAAAAAGAAAGAAAGAAAATTTAAAAACTAGCTGGTCATGGTGGTGTAAACCTGTTTTCCTAGCTACTTGGGAGGCAAAGGTAGAAAGATCATCTGGGCCCAGGAGTTCAAGCTTGCAGAGCTGTGATTGTACCACTGCACTCCAGCCTGGGCAACAGAGCAAGACCCTGTCTGTTGAGAGAGAGAGAGAGAGAGAAAGGAACTAGATTTTCAAGTTGTGACAGAATTGCTGTAATAGATGAGGGGATCCTGACATCTAGTGGACAATGTTATATACTGTCGACAGAGAAAACAGTCCATGACAAGGAAGGTTACATTTTTTTTTTCTTTTTACTTGAGAAAAGCACAGTTACAACCTCTTTTTGGTTGTTGTTGTTGTTTGGAGTTAATTATCTTGGAATGCTTTTTTGGAACTCAATAGGTAGATTTTGATATGTTTCTCAGTGAAGCTTTCATATGTAAATGTTTGGCCCCATATTATTTTTTATCTCCTTTAGACCAATTCAATTCTGAATGTGCAAAAGACACTATTGACTCTTGGATTATACCTTCTCATTGAAGGATGGATAATTTGGTATGAAAATCCTTTCCAGATTCCAGAGGAAATTGCTCATGTTTTGTTTACTTTTAGCAGAAAAATAACAATGTATTGCTATCAGGAGAAGGATTTCTGGGGAGGGGACTTAACATGGAAAATATAAATTCATTCATGACTTTTCTTTTTTAAATTAGGCTTTCTCCTGTTTCTCAGAGGATTTATCAATTATGCAAAAGTTCGGAAGATGCCAGAAACTTTATCAAATCTCCCCAGGACCAGAGTTCTCTTTATTTATTAAAGGTATTAAAGGAAAAAAATGTATTCTAGTCTCAGTGCAACCATGTGCTACATTGTAGAGGTCTATTCGGTTTTAGAGTAAGTATCTGTGGTAAGGGAATATAGAGAAGGTAAGAAAGGCACAGTCCCTATCTTTTAGCAGTTTCTTGTCTAATAACAGGGATTTTTACAAAAAACTATTGATAAAGTCAAATTAGAAAAACTACCATAGGAGAAATTGTTACTTCCTGCTTTGACAGTGTGAAAGAGGCAGGGGCCTTAGCAGTCATCAGAAAGCTAGGATATTTGGCTGCTTGACTGAATCCAACATCCTGAAGCCACTGCTTACTATGGCTTCAGTTCCAGAGGATGACATTCAGAAGGAACCCTTCAAGCCTAATCACTCGCCTCTGCCCCTAAACCCCTGAACTGTGTAGTACTTTAGGAACTTTTTTGTCTGGGCTGCTGACAAGCCCACCAAGTCTTCCATCTCTTAAAATTGTCATTGAGGCTTTCCTGGTGGCTTTCTTCAGATTGACATCTTGATATCACTCTAATGTGAGGAAGGTCAAACCCAAGAAAAGGAAGAGGAGAAAGGACCTTTTCCCTTGCCTAGAACTGGAGGACTAAGCCCTGTCAAGGCTCTTTGATTCACACGTGATTTTCTGCAGAGGCTGATACTCCGTCTTCCATCAGTGGCTGCCTAGAGGAAGAGGTGGAGAATCTTGAGAAAAGAGTACACCAGAGAGAGCCCCTCTCTGCTAACAAGTTCTAATAGACCTTGGACTTGACTGTTTGTTCCTTGGGACTTTCGGGGACTGTGTTGATCATAGAGTAGAACCTTGAGCACCATCTAGAGGCCAGTCCAGTTGAAGGCCTTAGGCAAAGCATTGTAAAGGGTAGGTGTAGTAGTTTAGACAAACCTTACATAATAGTGGAGAGTGTGGGGAAGAATTTCAGAATCATCTGAGGCAGAGTGAAGAGCAAAAATAGGGGAATACGGAGCTTGTTTAAAGGACAGCAGCTTGATTGGGGCATAAAGGAGTATTGAGGATCAAGGCTAAAAAGTCAGGTTGAAACAGATTTCACAGATACCTTGAGCACCAAGCCTATTTGTAGTAGAACCATCAAATTGATAGAGCCAGTGACATGTTGGGTCAATGCAAGACTAAGCCCATGTGGAACATTAATTTTTTTCTGTACTTGCAGAGTATCAGTTTATATGGGCAATCATATGCTAAGAGTGGGGTTCTCAATTTTGAAGACTTGTGGTGGTCTCAGGAGGTATGCTTCAGGAAACTAAAACATCTACTATAGTTGATTTTCCAGGTGATGGAACAGCATTGAAAGCTTTTAGGCAACAGGATAGTATAATGAGACCATCTTGAATATAACACATTTTTTGAAGCACAGTATAGTAAACTAAAATTAACATACATGGCGTTTTCCATGTGTCAGTTAATACAGTAAGCATTTTTCCTGGACATAATTAAATGTACTTACGTAAGTAAAGAAGGCTTGGGCTGCTTGAAATGTATACTAGTATTTATTATTACAAAACAGGAATCTTTGATTGCATGTTTAAAAATGTGTAGCATGTCAGGTTGGACATGGTGGCTCACACCTATAATCCAGCACTTTGGGAGGTTGAGGCAGGCAGATCACAAGGTCAGGAGATTGAGACCATCCTGGCCAACATGGTGAAACCCCGTCTCCATCCACTAAAATACAAAAACTTAGCTGGGTGTGGTGGTGGCAGACACCTGTAGTCCCAGCTACTCAGGAGGCTGAGGCAGGAGAATCGCTTGAACCCAGGAAGCAGAGGTTGCAGTGAGCTGAGATCGTGCCACTGCACTCCGCACGCTAGCCTGGAGACAGAGCGAGGCTCTGTCTCAAAAAAAAAAAAAAGGTGTAGCATGTCATGAATTTGAATTCAGTCACACAGTCTGGACACAAATGAACATTGACACCACTGGCCTGGGCCTTAATGCCTATGATGTGTATTTGTTTATGTCTAGAACATAAGAGGCTTACTGGATGTTTGCAGTTTTATTTAATTACCATTGTCATCTTTCATCTGTATGTCTGATTGGAATTTATAGTTAGTCAGGTTTAACTCTTACCTATGAAGGATTCAAAACTTAGTACTATTGGGTTGCTACAAGTCCTCCTTAGGAAGGGTGCGGAGATCGCCTAATATTTTCCCCTAATACATCTACACCCAAAATATCCTGAGGGGACAGATTTCTTCCTCTTTTTAAAAAAGTAATGGATTGATGTTAGCTCTGAATTTCTAAATGGACTGAGATCACACCTCTGTCTATTCTCTTCATTATTCAGTTAGAAGAAAATGTGAATCTTTATAAGAGGATCACATACCTTCTTCATCTTGGTTCTAAGCATAAAAAATAGCAGCCAGGTTGAGAGAAAGCCTGAACTTCTCAGTTTTCCTGTGGTTTTTGGTGCTTTACTGAAAATTTTGTTGTTTTTGTTTGGATTTTCTAAAATTTCTGAAATGGTTTTCGATGTTCTAAATTTAAAACAACGCAGTCCTTAGTAATAATAATGCTGTAGGAGCTGCTAAAGGAGATTGAAGTGATGAGCCTGCTGGTGCTTCAGGAATGTACATTAAGAGTTGTTGCCAGCCTGTAATCCCAGCACTCTGGGAGGCCGAGGCGGGTAGATCACGAGGTCAAGAGATCGAGACCATCCTGGTCAACATGGTGAAACCCCGTCTCTACTAAAAATACAAAAAGTTAGCTGGGCATGGTGGCACGTGCCTGTAATCCCAGCTACTCAGGAGGCTGAGGCAGGAGAATTGCCTGAGCCCAGGAGGCGGAGGTTGCGGTGAGCCGAGATCGCGCCATTGCACTCCAGCCTGGGTAACGAGCGAAACTCCTCCTCAAAAAAAAAAAAAAAGGAGTTGTCAGAAATGTACTCAGAGGTAAATGAATGCACTCCATTGGAGGGCATAATAGAGTTTATTTGCTTTTCTATTCACCTGTGATACCCTGGTTTATTTGAAATTGTTCCTGACACACCCAGAGAATTCAGAGGTCTAAATTAAGAATTTGGGGGGCTTACAGCAGAATTTAGAGTTCTAATTACTTAACTAATTTTCCAGGGATTCCCCAGAGGGAACCTGAAAAGCTGTAATATCCTATGGGACTGAGTTCCTTTTGTCCATTGAAAGGGTAAGAACTCTGTCCAGATCCAAAATGTACAATCCTTTCTTCTCTAGTTTGGAGGACATTTAGTTTAGTTTTGTTAGATATACTAGAAAACCATCATGTATTTAGTATGAAAGTTTTATTTCTTTTTCCCTTCCTATTGATTCTTTATTATATTTATCACAGTTTTTTAAAAGTCATTATCTGCTCATTCCAACATCAAGATTGTCTGTAAGTCTATTTGTATTGATGACTTTTTCTTTTGACTCTGGGTTACATTTTCCTGTTTTTACACATCTGGCCAATCATTTGTTTGTTGCAGCAGTGTTGATTATCATGTTGTAGAGATTATGATTCTTAATTTTATCAGAAGTTTTTGCCTAGCAGACACAGATTACTAGACGATAACTTTGATCTTATTTCTAACTGTCATATACAGTGATTCTTCTAGGGAGATCAGGATAGGGGAGAGGAAAAATGCAGTTTTAAAAAACTTAAGCTGACTCCTGCTGAGGAAAATCACTGGTAAACTAGTGACTACTCTGCTAAATTGCCTTTCTTGACATTGTCAACCTGAAGTAATCAAAAAGGATCAGAATACAGAGTTTATGCAAGCAGAAAGCTACGAGTGGCCAATCAGAGAACACAAACTTTAGGAAATGGGGTCAGTGTTCCCAAAAGCTTCATTTTATTTTATGGACCTCTCCTTCTTTGATGGAGATGTCACTAATTAAAAGCTAGCTGAAGAAAGACACAAGTAGGGAATTTTTAAAATGACTTTGCCAGAAAGATATAGGTAGAGAATTTTTAAAATAACTCCGCTGTAACATAAAAGTAACATACTTTCCGTATTGTACTAAGATTTGGCATTTTGCTAGAAAAGGGTATAAGAACCGTGACTTTTCTAGTCAGCATACCTAAAACATAGTACAAATAAACCAATCTTGAAGTGATCCCCGAACACCTCTTTCTAACCAGCCAAAGTAGATGTTACAAAAGCTCAACACTAAAACTCATGTTTTACATTACTATCATAGGGGCAGCTCTCAGGTTCCCTTTCAGAGTCCATTTAAGCTTAATGGAGGGAAAATGCATTAATTAGCTATTATCTGGTTTCCTACTTCATAACAAAACGCCAAAAGGAATTGCTGAAGGTGTGCACGGTGGCCATCAAGAAGCATGTGACTAGGCCAGGTGCAGTGGCTCACACCTGTAATCCCAGCATTTTGGGAGGTCGAGGTAGGCAGGTCACCTGAGTTTAGAAATTCGAGACCAGCATGGCCAATATGGTGAAACCCTTTCTCTGCTAAAAAGGACAAAAATTAGCTGGGCGTGGTAGTGTATGCCTGTAATCCCAGCTATTCAGGAGGCTGCTGAGGCAGGAGAATCGCTTGAATCCAGACGGCAGAGGTTGCGGAGAGCCAAGATCATGCCCCTGCACTTTAGCCTGGGTCACAGAGCAAGACTCTGTCTCAAAAAATAAATAAATAAAATATATGACTGGGGAAGTAATAGAAACATGTATCTTTTAGAAACAGCCGGGCGTGGTGGCTCACGCCTATAATCCAAGCACTTTGGAGACATCTATTCCTGAACTGGTGAAAAATGTAGTGTTTATACTTTTTCTGATTTACCAGTTCACTGGAAAATACATTTTTATGGGTTACCACCTCCTCTGATGCTGCCAGGTGAATGAAGAGTGAGCTACAGTGACCAGTGGTAACACAGTTGATTGGTTCTAACACTATTTGTGTGGTACCAAAAGTACTTGTACATATATTTAAAAATTATTTTAACCACATCTGAAACAGAAGGAAAAAAGAGGTTTTTGAGCCCTAGCATTAATGAGCTAGGGCCTTCATAATTTAAAAAGTGATGTAGTGAGCCATACCTGTTAGGCATCAAATATTTTAATTTTTTTCCATGTGACAATAGACATTTTCATTTCTCCCTTTACATCATTTTCCTCCTGTTCCTTAATACCTCTTTTATTTTATTAAAGGAAATTCATCTCAAGGTAAAGATTTACTTATTGGACTGTGTTATAAGATAGCAAGATAATAGAAATGGTGTTTTCAGTAGAATTTTTGCTAAACAAAATCTACATAATGTCTTCAAAAAGAACTGATTGTCTTCCTCTTGGAGTTAAATGATCTGTAGGCTATTGGATTCCTTTTTCTTTCGCAAAGTGATCTGATCTACAATCTAGTAACGCAGTCCAGAATCCCTAATATCTGTTTGTTCTTTAGTTTGTGTACTATCAGTGTTTCTGTAACACTGCCAGTCAAGCCTCCAGGTCTCAGCAATGCCCTCTGGCAGTCTTTCATTTGGAGATTATATGGTGATTGTATGGTGACCTATCTAGGTCCTCTTGAGAGATTTTAATTTAATTTTTACTTTTCTTGCTGAACAAGTAAAGGGATTTTTAATGTTTGTTGGGTGGCAGCCTTTGACTTTGAGGGATCTATTAAAGCTGTTTACCAATGCAAAAGCATCATAAACTAAGGAAGTGGCCAGGTGATTGTCTGTACCACATTGTATATTCTTGCAAACTCTGTTTTGACCTAATAGTCATTGTTTCATCAATTTTCATCTATTAATAGAAACTGATAAAGCAGAAATTACTTATGTTTATAATGAGTCTGGTCTCATTGCAAAAACTTTCATTTAATATTCGTCTGCCAGTTTTCTTTCTGCTTCTGCTTGGCTTTTAGAGTTCCTTATATTCTTGCTGGGCGCAGGGGCTCACGCCTGTAATCCTAGCACTGGGAGGCAGAGGTGGGTGGATCACCTGAGGTCAGGAGTTCGAGACCAGCCTGGCCATCATGGAGAAACCACATATTTTAAAAAAAGAAAAAGAAATAGAGTTTCTTATATTCTTGAGTCTCCATCTCAGTGCTTTCTGAGGTCTTTCAATCTCTTATGTCTCTCAATCTAAAGAAAAGATGTCCTTGTATCCATTTCAGTGGTTTACTTCAAATCACAACACACCTGAATTTATAGTTTAGAAAAATGTTGATAATATTAAAATATGTTAATTTCCTCCACTGTGTTTATAGTCTGTATTTTGGCAGCCTTTTAAATATTTATGCAGTAATCTAATCAGAAATGATACAGAAGATACTGGGCATAGTCCCAGTTAGTGTTAGTCCCAGTTACTTGAGGGGCTGAGGCAGAATGATCACTTAAGCCCTGGGGGTGGAGGTTGCAGTGAGCAGAGCTCATGCCACTGCACTCCAGCCTGAGCGACAGACTCTGTCTCCAAAAAAAAAGGGCACAGAAGAGTTTCTTGTGGCTTTTACAGTAATTTAGAGGATAGAAAAGTAAGTTATGGGTCTATATGTGAGCTCATCCAACTCTCACTTGTTGGGTACCACAAATAGTTTCTTAATAAATATTCGTTAAGCAGTAAATGTATCTCTTTAGTGCTTCTTCTTTTATTGTTAATATAGGGAATTACCTGTAATTTTCCCAAGTTATTTTCATGAGAACCAAAACAATATACTAGTACAGAAATGCCACAAAGTATTAGATGAAAACTGCATTTAGTAAAATGCATAGGCATTATTTTGACAGCATTTATTTTACTCATGTATATTCTTTTCTTTTTTCTTTTTTTAATAAAAAACTTTTTACTCTAAGAAAATTATTTTTCTTTTAATTCATATTCTTTTTAATGAACAAATGGCTCCAGAATGTATATTCCTTTCTTAAAATTAGTTTGAAACTACATATTTTAAGACAAATATGCCCCTAAAATACAATGACTTTTTAAGAAAACTTTTTTTTTTTTTTTTAAGTATTTGTGGTACCTATAAGTTTACCCTTGTTTTCTAATTTTGCCATGCTCAATTGAGGGTATAGCATGACATTGCTGTCATCCTTACTGGAAATCTTCCTTGTGCAATATCTAGTGGAATTGTTAGAGCAAACAGTAGCTTCAGGTATATTAGGAAAATTACCTGTGCACTTGGATGATGCTCTGTGTCCCAAGTTTCAGTCATTGCTGACAGGGTTAAGTATGGGATGCAGTAGCACTGCTTCCATTCTATTTTGTTCAGAGGTTTGGAAAGAGAGACTCCTGACCTCAGGAATTTTTAGAAAAAGCATTCCAGCTTTTTCTAGTTCTAGAGGCCTTGATAACTTTGAATTGAAATTGTAATGTTTATTGAATACCAAGATGTCAGTATACAGTAATCTTAAAACTATGTTAAAATGCACTTGTGTCTCCAAACATCCTGCCTTCTTTTGTGACTACATCCTTCTCTTAGCCAAAATAACAAGCTAACTAGAGTTTCAATATTCAATATCCTTCTCTGGCAGATGTTTTCTGGCAAAGGCCTTCCTGCATTTATGAATTCTCTCTCAAGAAGCAAGAGAGCACCTGCAGGAAGTGAATCAAGATGCAGAACAGAGGAAGAATCACCTGCTTTAAAAAAAATAAAGTACTGTTGAAAAGATCATTTCTCTCTATTTGTTCCTAGGTGTAAAATTTTAATAGTTAATGCAGATTCTGTAATCATTGAATCATTAGTGGTTAATGTTTGAAAAAGCTCTTGCAATCAAGTCTGTGATGTATTAATAATGCCTTATATATTGTTTGTAGTCATTTTAAGTAGCATGAGCCATGTCCCTGTAGTCAGTAGGGGGCAGTCTTGCTTTATTCATCCTCCATCTCAAAATGAACTTGGAATTAAATATTTTATTGTAAGATATGTATAATGCTGGCCATTTCAAAGGGATTTTCTCAAAAGTTAAACTTTTGTTTTGACTGCGTTTCTGCACATAATGCATATTTGCTGTTCCAGTTAATCTGGAAATTTATTCCATTGTACTGTGTGAACACCTGGAAGCAAAATCATAGTGCAAAAATACATTTAAGGTGTGGTCAAAATATGTCTTTAATTGGTAAATAATAAGCATTAATTTTTTATAGTCTGTATCCACAATTTTGCAGTACCTTATTGTACCTGAGGGATTCTAAAGGTGTTGTCACTATATAAAATAGAAAGGACTAGGATATAAATGAAGCTTAGTTACTAAAATGTAATTCTTGGCACTCTTTCTATAATTAGAGTCCCCCACCCCCACCCCCCTTTTTTTTTCCTTTTGTCTCCTGATGATTAGTCCAAAGGCTGGGAGTAAGGAGAGGATTAGGTACTTAGGAGCAAAGAAAGAATTAGCTTGGAACTTTTGAGATGATCCCTAACAAACTGTACTACTTGCTTTTACAATGTGTTAGCAGAAACCAGTGGGTTATAATGTAGAATGATGTGCTTTCTGCCCAAGTGGTAATTCACCTTGGTTTGCTATGTTAAAACTGTAAATACAACAGAACATTAATAAATATCTCTTGTGTAGCACCTTTTACTGTAGATTAGTGCTTTCTTGGCTTGTATTTGTTGATTGCTAAGGCACTTTTTTCTAATCTTAGAGAATCATTCAGTAGATGTGATTAAACAACTAATGTTGGGTCAATTATTTTTCTTCATTTTCAGCACAAGAAGTCCCCTTCTTTCATATCCTACTCAATACATTCTTAAAAATGTATATGAACATTGATTCTGCAAACGATAATGGACTAATAAAAGTAGAGAGGAGGCCGGGCGTGGTGGCACACGCCTGTAATCCCAGCACTTTGGGAGGCCAGGGGGGGTAGATCATGAGGTCAAGAGATCAAGACCATACTGGCCAACATGGTGAAACCCCATCTCTACTAAAAATACAAAATAAGTAGCTGGGCATGGTGGTGTAGTCCTCAAGTAGTCCCAGCTACTTGGGAGGCTGAGGCAGGAGAACAGCCTGAAACTGGAAAACGGAAGTTGCAGTGAGCTGGATCTCACTACTTCACTCCAGCCTGGCGACAGAGCGAGACTCCGTCTCAAAAAAAAAAGGAGTTGTAGAGATATTAAATCATTCTGGAATTTCTAATTATACTTTAATTTTTTGACATAATTTTAGATAATTTCTTTCCAGTGTTTTGTGCATGTTCTCATTTGTTCTTTTTCTCAGTTGAATGCACCAACTGGTTTGCATCCTATGAGCATCCAGTCAGTTGAAATTAAAGATTCCTCATTTCTCCTGATTTCCATTCTTGTCTTGGTCTTAAATTTAGAGACTGATGGTTTTTATGATATCAGCCATTTGATTTTTTTCATTTTCTATTTAAGAAATATAAAGAAAAAAATACATCAAGATGGCCAAATTACTACACAGTGAGCACCAGCACAGTCTGATAGCTGCAAATGTCTATTCTTCTGCTGCGTATGAATATCCAGAATCAGCATAGGAAGTTGTTTAGGGTGTCAGAATATAATGCACAGAAGTGTGGGTTGTTTGAAAGCCAAACAGGAAAATTAAAAGCCTACTGGATTGATATTTCATAATAATTTACATTGATCCTTCTAACAAATTAATTGATTACTATGAACATTAGTATAGTGTGTTCTTGTTCAGAAGTTATATTTGACAATATAGAAGGAGGTAGTTTTATGAAAGTTTCTTTGAAGATTTTTCTTCTTAATTTTGAATCAGATTATACCAACAATAAATTTTGGAAGTTTTTATGGCCTATAATGTTGTAAGTTCCAGAATGAAAAAGTCTCTAATAATCTGAATAAATGTAGACATGTATAGCAGAGAGAACTATGTAAATTATCTTGCAGAATAAAATAGAAGGGTCCTAAATCACGTTAACTCAAACATTGTAGACTAGCTTTGTGTTTATTCTTCAGGTCCTTGTGCCTTATTTGGTTTTGTGTATTCAACGAACTGAAATATTTGGAATTCCTATTTCTGTGCATTTGGTGGTCCATAAGATTTTGTCAAATGTAAACCTACAGTTTAATATACTTTAAAATACTTAGTCTAGAGAATGATTTCTCTTTAGTCATTTTAAATGTTCTGAAAATTCAAATCTTTTGAGGCACATAAAGTTGGCACCATGTATCATCTAGAGTCCTTACTGGTATTCAGGATGAAAATTTTCATGCTGCAGTGTTAATTATCATTTTTCTCTCCCATTTTCTTTCTCACTTTGATATGTTAATACTGATAATGGATAAAGGGTCAGTTTTTATAATAAATGGTTTGGGAAAGGTATTCAGAGGAACTGCTGTTAGGTTACCTAAGGTTATGGAGTAAACTAGTTTGGACCTTGGGCTACAGGGCAACTAGGATTCACTCATAACAACACCGTGCCCTGTATTTCTTAACTTCTTGTTGCCGTTTGAAACTCTGCACTCTTATGTTTAAAGGGTTCTTTATAGCCTGGTTTTTTTTGTTTTGTTTTGTTTTGTTTTTGTTTTTTGAGACGGAGTTTCGCTCTTGTTACCCAGGCTGGAGTGCAATGGCGCGATCTTGGCTCACCGTAACCTCCGCCTCTGGGGTTCAGGCAATTCTCCTGCCTCAGCCTCCTGAGTAGCTGGGATTATAGGCATGCACCACCATGCCCAGCTAATTTTTGTATTTTTAGTAGAGACGGGGTTTCACCATGTTGACCACGATGGTCTCGATCTCTTGACCTTGTGATCCACCCGCCTTGGCCTCCCAAAGAGCTGGGATTACAGGTGTGAGCCATTGCGCCCGGCCTTTTTTTGTTTTTGTTTTTGTTTTTTGTTTTTTCTTGTTTGTTTGTTTCTTCAGAAAGTTACATCGCTTTGTATAGATAAAAGGCATTGAAATTTGCTTGTTAAAAAAATAAGAATGAATTTTTTTTTTTTTTTTTTTTTTTTTTTTTTTGAGATGGTGTCTCGCTCTGTCACCCAGGCTGGAGTGCAATGGGATGATCTCGGCTCACTGCAACCTCTGCCTCCTGGGTTCGATCCAGTTCTCCTGCCTCAGCCTCCCCAGTAGCTGGGATTAGAGGCAGAAGCTACCACGCCCAGTCAATTTTTTGTATTTTTAGTAGAGACGGGGTTTCACCATGTCGGCCAGGTTGGTCTCGAACTCCTGACCTCAGGTGATCCACCCACCTCAGCCTCCCGGAGTGCTGGGATTATAGGCATGAGCCACTGCGCCCAGCCAAGAATGAATGTCTTTACTAATAGGATCAATTTTGTTTAGAGTTTTTAAAAAACAAAATTTTTGGTGAGGTAAATTACATTTTTTTTTTTTTTTTTTTTTTTTTGCTTTCTTTTTGCATATCTGACTTGAGCTCTGGCCCACCATGAGTCATTAGTAACACAGATTAAATTTTGATTGGTCTTCACTGTGTTCTTATACTAAAATAACCTCTACTTAGCTATAAATGGTTTACATTCAAAAGAAGAAATAAATCACTACTGAAGTAGAGTATCGGGATTAATAGAAGTGATACTTCAATTTGAGTGATTGCCTGAGGTGGCAAGATTGTGGAGTGAGAGTCAACAAAACTAGACCATAACAATGGAGCCCTGGCCTCAGGCTTTACATTCAGTCCAATGCCCTCTTCCCATTGTCCCAGCCTTCTGGAGGGTTGGCATGTAAACATTGACATAAAATGAAAAAAATCATTTGGCCCTGCTTCTTGTAAACATCAGTAATCTAATTTTAACTTAAAACATGCTAAGAACTATATATTTATGTAAAATAGGAGAATGCGTATATGTATGTATGTATAAATAGATGGATAGATGTTTTGTTTCGTTTTGTTTTGAGACAGGGTCTCCCTCTGTCACCCAGACTTAAGTGCAGGGGCGTGATTTCGGCTCACTGCAACCTCCACCTTCCAGGCTCAAGCCATCCTACCTCAGCCTCCCAAGTAGCTGGGACTATAGGCATATGCCACCACACCCAGCTAATTTTTACATTTTTAGTAGAGACAGGGTTTTGTCATGTTGCCCAGGCTGGCTTGAACTCCTCAGTTCAAGCAATCCACCTCCTCGGCCTCCCAAAGTGCTGGAATTACAGGTGTGAGCCACCTCACCTGGCCAGTAGGAGGGTGTATTTTACGAAAAATTAATTATGACCCCTATTGCCTACTTGAATCTGATTCATGGTTAAACTTCAGTGGTAAATATAGGTTAATCATGCAAAGTGTGGTGTAATAATTTTCAGATTCTGTGAGTGGTTCAGCTATTTAGAAGATTTTCACCTCTTAGGCTTTTAGAAGATGATTTGAGGAATGATGAGTATCATAACAGAAGGTAATTTATGCTTTCATAAATGGTTGGTATATTTAAATTTTTTTTTGCATATTTTAAAGCCTAAATCGTATTTCTAGCCTATAAGATGGATAAGGTGGATTGGGTGAGAGCGTTTGTTAAGCCAGTAGTACAGTACTCTTGCATATCCTTTTCCCTTTTGCATATACCTGTACACATTTGTGTATGTGTATAGTTGTGTTCTTTTAGACTACCTATAGAAGGTGGTCTTCGACAAGTAGCCTCTGCATGTTGGTTCTTTGTATTAGGCTCTACTATTAACAAGGAAGGTATCTCAAAGAAATACACTGGGAATTCCCAAAGGGGAGAGTTAAGTTTAGGTTGAGAGTTAAAGAGGTTTTCAGGAGGAAATGATGGTTGTAGAAATTGATTTTGTATCATCTCCGTTCTAAAAAGAAGCTATTTTATAACCCGGTTTATTGTATCACCTACAACTTTATGGCCTATGGAAAGAAGTGCTCTTATGTAAAGTATATGAATTGGGAGCTGTCCTCCCGAGGCCGGTTTTCCTGACTATAAAATCCGAAGTAGTCCATCTACTGCATGGCGTTTTAATCCCCTCAGTCCGCCAGTTATTCTCAGAATTTTCTGTTTGTAGGATAAACATTAGTCAAAGGTTTTGTGTTAATTTTCATACCTGTTTTTACTTAAAGCTTGTTTCTTTTTTTCTTTACATCGAAGAAGCATTGTCTTCTGATTTTGGTAGTTTTAATTCTTTATCAGTTGATGAGTTAATAAAATGTAAATGTAAATGCACATCTCTTAAACCTGAATACAGAACATATGAATATAGAGGATTCTCTTGCATTTCTGCAGGATTTTCCCCAGTTGAGATGCAGTTGTGTGAAATAGAGGTCAACCTGCTTTATGTGTTCATTCTGTTCTAAAAGCAGCTAATTTGAATCATTTATGTAGGAAATACATGTTTCACAGACTTTTTCCTATCCATTAGTGATTGCAGATCTGTAGATATCAAAACCGAGAAAAGTGGTTTCCTCTAAGTCTTAACAAAGATTAGTGCTGGAGCTCTGGGAAGATGGCAGTATTCATTGTTATTCTTTAGTTGTCTGGAAGGTTTGTGAGTGATATATGCAGCCTGGGAAACAAGAAAATAGGTCAAAAATCTAAAAGAAATCTCTAAAATAGATGATTTCCCTGGCAAAGCATTATTAGAAAAAGTACACAACTAAGGAAATTCTGCCTTCTGGTTATGAAACCCAGCCTGAT